AAAGAAGGGGATAGAGAGGGATGGAGGGATGTAGAGTTATTTTAGATTTTATGAGTTGAGGGGCCTCTCTGAGTAGGTGGTCATTTGAGCAGAAACCTGTCTGAGAAGAGGAGGCAGCCATGGGATTTGGAGGGAGAGGAGTGCTCTAGGTAGTGGGAGCAGCAGGTGCAAAGGTCCTGAGGTCAGAATGAGCCTGCATGGTGTGCAGCCCGTTATGGAAGACCAGTGTATCTAGAGCTGGGGAGGGTGTTGGTGGTGAGGTCAGAGAACAGGTTAAGGCCAGGTCGTTTTGGCCCTTGCAGGTTATGGGAGGGGGTTTGGTTTTGCTTCTGAATGTCAGGGGATAGCTTTGAGATTTTTGGGTAAGGGAGTGATGTTTTGATTTATGATTATTATTTTTTTTAGAGACAGGGTCTTGCTCTGTTGCCTAGGCTGGGGTATAGTGGCACAGTCACAGCTCATTGCAGCCTCAGTCTCCCGGGCTCAAGACCCACCTAAGCCTCCCTAGTAGCTGGGACCACCAGCAGGTGCCACTATGCATGGCTAATTTTTAAAATTATAGTAGAGACACGGTCTCTCCATGTTGCCCAGGCTGGTTTCGAGCTCCTGGGTTCAAGCAGTCCTCTCGCCTCAGCCTCCCAAAGTGCTGTGAAAGCAGGCATAGACCACCCGGCTTGGCCTGATTTAAATTTTTAAAGGAGCACTCTGGCTGTAGCATGAAGAACTGACTATGGGGTAGCAAAAACAAAGCAGGAGGCTTTTGTGTTGAGCCAAGGGATTCCCTCTCCTGGAGGGAACTGTTGGTCATAAAGGTGATAGAAGTTGGTCATAAACATGCTGCCACCACCTGATACCTGCTCTTGAGCTCAGATCTCTGTGTCGCAAACCCCACTGCTGGAGCATGCTGATGAGGGGCAGCCTGTGTCATTCAGTTTCATCTTACCCTCTGCCCAGGCCTCCTGAGATGCACATGCTTTCCCTCCACCTTCATTGCTCATGGGGACCATATCTTGAAGGGAATCATTTTGGGATAAACTTGTATTAAGGCCCTAAGGAAAAAAAATGTTAACTTTCCCTGACTGGCTTTAAAAACAGAAGCTTCATATGTACCTTAAAGGATTTATGGCCAGAGATTAGAATGAGAGACAACTTAGGGGTAGAAAAAGACACACAAAAGGGATTCAGCTTGGGAAGAAACCCTGGCCTAGGAACCAGACACCTGGGTTCAACCTTTGGCACAGCAGATGCTAGTGTCTGTACATCTGGGTGAGTTACTTCACCTTTTTGAGTCTGCTTCCACATCAGTAGAGATGATACCTGTCCTGCTAACCTCATGAGGCTGTCATGGGGTGTGGTGAAGTAAGACTGTGAAGCACTATATATGGCTGTGTCATGGCCGTCTGAGGTGGCAGTGTCACTGCTTAGGAGATTACAGACCCCAGTAGCCCATTGGTTGTTCTCATATCTCAAGTAACATTCCAGAGAACACCCTGGGATGAGGGCTGTGGGGGTTTCCCCTGTTGCGTAGTCCTAGGAAGGAAGAATCTGGAGTATGTGACAAGATCTGATTGACTGACTCTTTGCTCCCTCACCCCTGACAACTGATTTGAGAACTAATTCATACTCTCTGGCCAAGACATTTCAGATTTTTATATGGGCTGTTCCTGGGAAGTTATTGGGTTATAGGGTTCCCAGGGCAAATGTTAGAGGAGTTGGCTTGAAGTCACTACTCGACCTGGGGAGAAAGATGGATAATCACACACACTCTCACATTACAGTACCTCACACACACTCGCATGTGTGCATGCACATGAGCAAGACACAGTTGCAGTCTTTGGGGACTCACAGTGTTTGTGGGTAAGTCTGATGTGTAAATAAATGAATAAAATTATGAAATGCTTTAGTGGAATTGTCTTCAAAGTATTGAGAAGGGAGTGAGTAATTCTACCAGGGAGTGGGTCAGGGAAAGCGTTAACGGAGAAGGCATTTGAGCAGATTCCTGGAAGATATTTGGAGATTACTGTGTACAACAGAGTAGGGCTTTTCCAGCAAAGATAAGGGGCATGAAACAGCTGGGTGGTTCCCGGGAACTGGTCCCTTGGATGTGGAAGGAGGTGGTAATAAAGGAGGCTGCTGAGATCAGGCCAGGCTGGACTGTGGGAAACCACTGTCTGGGCTGATTTTGGCATCTCTGCCCTAAGATTTTGAATTCTTTTTCTTCTGTGCAGTGTTTAGCCACTGACAGAGCTGTTCTGAGGCCCAGTGTGCGAGGGTTGATAAAATGTAAGGTAGGACCCCTGCGATGCCTAGCATGGCATCTTGCCTGAGGTCAGTGTTTAAATACTTACTGAAATGACCCAGACATGATGTTTATCCTGGAGTTCAGAGAAGATGCTGTCCCCCACAAATCCCAATGCACTGGGGTGTGGACACGGTGTCTTCCATGGTACCAGTATGTGAAGAGGCAATCCCATCAGTGGCTGCTGCTGTAGTTGGGCTCTGCAGTCATGTCCACACTGAGAGAGGCTGCTGAGGGTGTGACGTCTCAGCTGATGAGCCTGTCCATCTGCCCTGTAGTCAGAAGCACAGTGTAAGAGAAGTGGAGTCTCTCCCATGAGTCTATTTCTATGAGTACCTTCTGTGAAAATGGTACCATTTTAGTAATTACAGTTTTTTTTTATATTGCATAAGTAAGTATGTGATTAAATGGTTTGTGGTCAGTGGACCGGGAGTTCAAGGTGCCTTTTCTATATTTCTTTCTTTTTTTTAAGACTAGTTAAGTGCAGTAGTGAGGAGGGGGGAAAGAGTAGAACAAGGAGTTCAATCTGTAACTGACTGGACTATCAGTTGAGATAACTCACTACCTTCAGACCAGCCAAAGGTGCCTTTTCTGTGTACTTTCCACTGCCCCTCAAGTTGGGTGACAGTGCCGTGACCCCAGGCCCTACGTCTTTCTTCTGCCTCATACCATCCTTCTTCCTGGATGTCTCATCATCAGCTAGAGCTCATGGATGTGACTGCTAGGTTAACCTTCAGTTTCTTGTATGTTCTCTTACCCGGGGCTAGGTCATAACTTACCTGCACAGCTCCAAGAGGAGAGAATATGGGGAAGGCACCTCCCATTGCCCCCCTGTGATCTGATGGCCTACAGGTCACCAAGGCCCTTTCTATGGAGTCATGTCACTTTCTTGCCATAGTCCTTAGTCTCTGTCTCCCAGTTACTCCAAGGTGACATTCAGAGGCCTTCACATCTGCTGCTAGGCAGGGCTCTGTCGTGTTACCAAACCTTCAAACCAAAAAAGGTAATTGGGCCTTCTCAGTTTCACAGCCATTTTTTGAATATCATAGGGACATAATTTTTCATTGGCTTCCTACTAAGGTCTAAAGAGCAAGGCCTGCCTTTCCTGGCATTTGCCCCCTCACCACCCTCCTACCCACTACTCTCTTTTAAAAATGTTATGGAAAATTTTAAGCATATACAAGAGAAGATAATTGTATAATGAATCTCCAAGTGCCAGCTTCAGCGGTGATCAGCTTGGGCATCTTATATCATTTATATCCCACCTACTCATCCTTAATTATTTTGAAGCAAATGCCAGACATTTTATTCATAAGTATTTTAGCATATAATTTTAAAAGATGAAGATTTTGTAAAATCATACTTTCGTTATCATACCCAATAATTCCTTAATATCAGTCTTCAAATTTTTCTAAATATCTCAAAATCTTTATCTTTTTGTATCTTGTTTTAATTGAATTAGTTGATCTCTTAAGTTTCTTTACATCTATAGGTGCTTGCTCTCTCTTTTCTTCTTGCAGTTTATTGAGGAAGCCAGATCTTTGGTTCTCTTTAGTTTCACATAGTGTAGATTGGCTGATTTTATCCTCACAGGATTGTTTAACATGTTTCATGCTCTTCTGTATTTTCTACAAATTGGTGTCGTATCTAGAGGCTTGTTTAGGATTCAGATTCTCTTTTTTATCTTTATTTTTGGCAAGCATACTTCATAGGTGGTGGTGTGAACTTCTTTTGGGAAACACATAATGTTTGGTTGTCTGTGTGTCGGCTGATTGGGTTTTTAAATGTGTTAAGTATTTTAAGAGGGTTCCTTAATTTTTTTTTTTTGAGACAGAGTCTTGCTCTGTCACCCAGGCTGGAGTGCAGTGGCACGATCCTGGCTCACTGCAACCTCCACCTCCTGGGTTCAGGCAATTCTCCTGCCTCGGCCTCCCAAAGTGCTGGGATTACAGGCTTGTGCGGGGGCAAATGCCAGGAAATGCAGGCCTTGTTCTTTAGACCTTAGTAGGAAGCCAATGAAAAAATTATGTCCCTATGATATTCAAAAAATGGCTGTGAAACTGAGAAGGCCCAGTTTACCTTTTTTGGTTTGAAGGTTTGGTAACACAACAGAGCCCTGCCTAGCAGCAGACGTGAAGGCCTCTGAATGTCACCTTGGAGTAACTGGGAGACAGAGACTAAGGTAATATTTGTATTTTTTTTAGTAGAGACAAGGTTTCATCATGTTGGCCAGGCTGGTCTTAAACTCTTGACCTTAAGTAATCTGCCTGCCTTGGCATCTCAAAGAGCTAGGATTACAGGCGTGAGCCACCGTGCCGGGCTGGGTTTCTTAAGGTTTACCTGAGTCCAGGTGGTGGTCTTGAGAAAGTGAGAAAGAGTACGCTCACAGGGATCTTTCCTTGTTGAGGTTTGATGATGATGGGGCTATTACGTTCTCTGCCCTTGAACTACTTGCTTATGTTGGTTTCTCCAGCACTTCCAGAAAAGATGAATTGGCATAAAATTGATCCAGAGCATGTTTCTCTTGGTCATAAAAGATACATTTGCTCAGGAAACACTGAGTAAGGAGAGGCTCAGGTGTTTCGAAAGTTATTTTTGGATTTTAGAAATGTTTCTTGGTTTGGCGAAACCAGCTGCTTTTGCTGATACTTTCCAGTATGTGTTTTCATTTAATTTTAAGGTAACTCTTTTCTTCTTTTAGGATCTCATTTTACCCAACGGTGGTACTCCAGCAGGTACTTCAAGTCCAGCTTCTTCATCTTCCCTTCTCAACAGACTTCAGCTTGATGATGACATTGATGGTGAGACCAGAGATCTCTTCGTTGTAGTCGATGATCCCAAGAAGCATGTGTGTACCATGGAGACCTATATCACATATAGGATCACCACCAAAGTAGGTCCCTGTGTTACAGAATGCCCGTGTGGAGGAGTGGTCTCAGGGGATGGGGTCTATTTCAGTGAATTTTGCCTTTGCTCCCTGCCTCATTGTACATCTCTGTTCACCTTGATTACAGTTGTGGGTGTGGGTTTTTGAGAGAATAGATGTAATTCAGATTAAGAGGTTTATATATAGCAGTTTTTTGAAATATTAGAATAAGGAAGAAATTAGACTAAAATTTTTCAAATAAACACTTAATCCCTACACTTGCACTTATTTTTTTTTACCATGATGCTGTTTAACCTGTTAATGGTCTGAAGACAAGGTTGTTCAAATGCTTTGCTTTATTACCTTGAGGCTTTGACACTCTAGTCCTAATTCAGATTCCTGACGACCAGGGCTGGACAAAGTACAGAGCTCTTTTCACTTGAGCTAAAATGAGCTCAGTGCTGACAGTCAGTGTAGTCAAATAATTACCCACCCAAATGTAAGGTACGATTATCTTCTCTCTCCAGTTGTGGAGAGCCAGCTTAGGCCTTCTGAGGGCAGGCAGCTTCTGACTCTTTTCTCTGCAGGCTCCAAGAAAGTAACATCATAACAGCAGCTAGTTATTGGACAGTTACCATGCACTGTACATTTTTGCAGTTGAGACCCTTTTATTTTTATGTCATATAAGGAATGTATGTTCATTGTAGAGAACATAGAAATTGCAAGTAAGCTAAAACAATAAAAGAATGCCTGTAAGCTCACCAGCCAGAAATAATCGTTGGTGACTTTCTATACTACTTTTCTTCATCTGGTTACAAAAATGAGTATTTTGCATACGCCCAGTTTGCTTAATACATTGTGAACATCTTTCAGTGCTAGGACGTGCCAGTAAGCATGCTTTTATGCTGTTGTTTGTAAGACTGCAATAGTGTTCCATTGTATGAATGTACCCTCATTTATTTTCTGCTAAATGTTTTACATATATTATCAGTTAATCTTCACACTCAAGTAGATATAAATACTCTTATCTTACAAATGGGAAAACAGAGACAGAGATAGTAAGAAAATTGCTCACAGACATGCGACTCTTGGGTGGTGGAGCTGTCCAGGTCTAGACAGCTGGAGTCCAGGTCTGTCTGATTCCAGAGATAGTAAATATTAATAATCATGCCCAAAATACATGATTTTTTTTTCCTTTTTTTTTTTTTTTTTTGAGACAGGATCTTGCTCTGTTGCCCAGGCTGGAGTACAGTGGTGGGACTTCAGCTGACTGCAACCTCTGCCTCCCAGTTTCAGGTGATTCTCCTGCCTCAGCCTCCTGAATAGCTGGGATTACTGCACTGCGTCAGGCTAATTTTTGTATTTTTAGTAGAGACAGGGTTTCATCATGTTGGACAGGCTGGTTTCGAACTCCTGACCTCAGGTGATCCACCTGCCTCGGTCTCCCAAAGTGCTGGGATTACAGGTGTGAGCCACCACGCTCAGCCCAAAAGACATGATTTTCAAGAGAGGATGGTTCCTATACCCAGCACCATGGTCCAATGGTTAAAACTGACAATACAGAAATAGACTTGAGGGTGAGGAAATAGAGGCGAGCCTTCAGCTGCTGTCAGAGGTTATTCTTCTCTTGTCTTTAGCCTCATACCAGTGGTGTGGGAAAAAAAAAAGTCATAAAACCACAACTAATTCCTCTTTCCAAGTGCCTCAGTGGTCGACAAAGAGTCTAAATGCTGCTCAGAGGCTGAATTACATACAATGCAAAGTGGACATTAGATTAATGACAAAGTTATTGCTGACTGTGGTTTGAGCAGTTTCATTGGTGTAGCGCTGCAGAACCCAAGTGGGTTAGAGTGAGTGAGAGGTGAGAAAGAAGACAAGAGTGTTAGAAGTTTGGCAGTGAACGCCAGCATAGAGAGCAGGGATCAGAAGCGGGTGTGGGCATGAGGGAGAGAGAGGGAGGCTTTTTTTTTTTTCCCTGCTGTTGTTTTTAAGGATGAAAGAGACTTATTTAAGTGCCAAGTGCCCAGTAGTATTGGTAGAGAAGGAGATATTAGGTTGAAGATTGGAGAGTAGGGTGGAAGCTCCTGGGAAGGTGGAGGAAGCTGGAATTGCCACTGGTGGGGCGGTGTACTTTTTCCGTTGTTTGTGGAGAAGGAAGGGAAGTTTGTTTTGTGGCAGGAAGTTAAGGGGTTCTTTGCTTATATCTGCAGTTTTCTCTCTGAATACATGATGAAATCTTAGGGTCGGGGCGGGGTGGTTTGAAGTGGAGATTAGAAATTTTCAAAACTTTTATGGGCCTTTCGAGAAATGATGTGGACAGTGTGGGAGTGAGTTGACGAAGGGAGTATTAAAAGGGTGCCTAGCAGTGTTTGAGGGTCTGGTTGTAGAATGTATCATGTCTGTCCATGTATTTGCCTGATGTTGTTTTTCCTCCAGCAGTGTACTCACAAACCCAGGTCTGGTAGAGCAAGCGGGTTTTTGCGAATGGGGTTAATGGGCAGTGGGGAGGGAGCATTTAGATACTGCTGTAAGTAAGGGATTGAAGTTCTGGGCCATGGAACAGATGCTGAGGAAGGAAGGAAGTAAAGACATGAATGGACAGAAGGCCAAGGAACTTTGGGTCCCAAGAGGCTGAGAAAACAGGGATGTAAAGGGGAAGAGCCTGAAATATAGGGGATGCCGTTTAGAGGGACATGTGTGGGTTTCTGCCTGGTGATGGTTTGGGGAGAGGCCCCGAAGTGGGAGGAAACATTGCTTGCTTAGAGGCTGGTGTTGTGTATGTGAATCACTTGGATCTTGAGGGCACCTAGACTATGTGGAAGGGCTTGGGAAGGGAAGCCTGAGAGCCAGCTGCTGGAATCTTCAGGGCACCAAGAGAAATGGAGAGCTGTCAGAGGACAACAGTTGTGTGGAGGGGTAGAGGATGTGTGTCACTGGATGGCACAGACCTCAGAAGGGTTTTCACAGGATGGTGGAGGAGTGGTGGTCAGGGGCTGTGTGAAATGAGGAGCATGTCAGCAGCAGCTCCTGGCCTTGCCGGCTGGGTGAGGCCTATGGAATGTGAGCAGCTTACAGAGGGACCAATGGCAGGGAGGCCGCATTCTCAGGGAGAGCCAGGTTTCAGAATTTGAATGGGCAGAAGAACAACAGGACTTTATTAATTATGGCATCTTGGCAGAAAGATCTGAGAGGAAGAAGAGAAGTGGAAGTCCATGTTAGAAGAAAGGAAGCCAGAGGAGTGTGAGGATGAGAAGCTGGAAGCCTCTCTGTCATTCTCAGGGCAGTGGGGTTTTGAAGCAGAATGGGACTAGCTGGTTTTTGTTTGATAAGGGAAGAGATCCCTTTGATGGGAGATGGGGGTTGCCTAGAATTCTTAAGATTCAGCTGTGGCCTGGACAGATGGCACTTCTGATGAAGACCACATCTCTCTGGAGTGAGTCAGTTGTCAATTTTGGATCAAATGGACATTCTTCAGAATGGCCCAGGGTCACAGACGTTGAGCACGTCAGTTCTTGGGGCATCAGGGGAGACCTTATGTGGTAGGGTGAGGCCCAGTGGATGGGGTGCCCCTCTGGGTGACTGATGAGACTGTGGTTCTGTGCTGGGTCTTCCAAAGTGTTGAACTTCCAAAGGGAAAAAAAGCCAGGGATGTCTGGAGATGACCAGGGACGTGTTCACATGGAGTAATTCTTGACTGTGACTCTTGTGCTTGGTCACCTGTTTTTAGACCTGACTGGATGTATGCGTCCATGACCTTGTGGTCTTTGGACATTCTGTACTGTGGACACACGATGTGGAAGGACATAGAACCACATGATGCAGTGCTTGTCTCTGATTATGGAATTGTGCCTGTATGCTTTGCGTTCTTTTTTAAAAACTGTTTTGTTTACTATAGACATTCAAAAATAGAGATAAATGTATATTTTTAAATTTTCCTGAGTTAGATACTGAATTTCCCAGAGGAAAAATTTACTACAAACTCATCTTTGGAGTTTTACTGGGCTGCCTGTTTTATGAATACTGTGAGTCCTATAAATGTGTTTCTCTCCAGAAATTTCAAGTAATGTCTCTGGCCCAGTTTTAGCCTGTGTGCAATGTTTCATTGTGTGTTTTGCTAGCCTCATTCCTGGCTCTACTTTCTCCCTCTGTCCTTGTTTTTTCTTTATCTTTTTTCACCTACTTCTAATTTATGTCATTTGATCGTATTTTACTTATCACTGTATCTTTTCTAGAACAAACAGTGGTAAAAATAAGTAAAATAAATACTGGGTCAGAGAGTGTGCGAGCATCCATTTCTTTTTTTTTTTTTTTTTTTTTGGAGATGGAGTTGGACTGTGCCACCCAGGCTGGAATGTAGTGGTGCAAACTCAGCTCACTGCAACTCCACCTCCCAAATTCAAGCAATTCTCCTGCCTCAGCCTCTCAAATAGCTGGAACTAGTGCACCACTACACCTGGCTAATTTTTGTATTTTTGGTAGAGACAGGATTTCACCATGTTGGCCAGGCTGGTCTTGAACTCCTAAGTGATCTGCCCACCTTGCCCTCCCAAAGTGCTGGGATTATAGGAGTGAGCCACTGCACCTGGTCTTTGAACATCCATTTCATGATGACTTTTTACCTTATTGCTTTCCAAAGCATCAAGCAAGTTTTTCTTGCTGTCTTAACTTCCCTGTGTCCTTAAAGGAGCTTTTAAAAAATGAGCATTGTGTGTTTTGATCAAACATCTTCAAAAGCTGAAAAAAAAGTGAGATTTTGTGTGTGTGTGTGTGTGTGTGTGTGTGTGACTATGAAAATACTGTATGAGAATAGTATAAAATCTGGGAGAACGATCCAAGATGGCTGATCGGTAACATCTCGGGATTGCAGCTCCCAGTGAAAGCGCAGAGAACGAGAGGACGCCACACTTTCAGACAAATTTTGGTCTCTCATGGAGCAGAAGATTCCCAGTGGAGGAGTCCCACGGGTCACCAGCGCGACTCTTGTGGCCGGCACAGCAGTTTTGCTGGCACCTTGGCGCGGCAGCTCT